CACTGAATAATTTATATATTCTCGTTTCGATTTATTTTTGTAGTAAGATAAGAAAATTAATTAAGGATAGAGAGCACATGAGAATACACTGTACTGTAATGGTGCATTCAAGGACTCCTTCAATACGTTCCAAGGCCACATGTGTTTTATCTGTGATGGTTCAATATTTAATCGGTCCATATACGAAAGTTATTTTGATAATGCCTGAATAGAGGAAATGTACCTGGACCATTCTTTCTATTTTGTTATATTAGACTATCTACACGTGATTTTCTTACTCTTTTGATTTTGGCTTTCGATCTATTTCCTTTTTACCAAAGTTTGTGTCAAGTCACATGATCTTAGCCGACACCAATTGATGAGACTAGTCTTTTCCAACTAGTGAAATCTTCAAAATGCTAAATCAAATATCAGAAAATATCAATATCGCAATTAATTTACAATTTTATTGGGAGTATCAGAGTATGTATAACAAATCCTACATTCGAACCTTATAATATACCTGTTTAATTTGGTTCCTAACCCGAAACGATTATAAAACATAAATTTCTCTAAAACTCATTAAAAAAAAAAAAAAACAAGTGGAAGTTGTGTATAACCCACTTGTTGAATTCCTCATTTCGAAGCACAACAAAGGAAGGTAACGAGGAGTTAAAAACGAAATATCAAGCTAGCTTGGTCATATTGTATTAAAAGACAATATAGGAATTTTGAACATGCCATTAATAATGTAATTCATCTATCAACACACGACAGTGTTTCTCTCTACCGTAAACATCAATCTATGAACAACAGAAAACGAGGAGCGACAGAGAAGGCCAATGAGGGTTATGGAAGAGGAAGAACAAGGCCAAATGCAAGTTGGAGCTTAGGAAAAACACCAAAAAGATCAAATCCAAATTCATTTCAAACCCCATCATTCATATCCAATGAAATGAATTTCGATCTGAATCTCACTTTTTCTAATAACTTTTTAATGTAAAAAAAGAAAGAAAGAGAGAGTGAGGAAAAAGGCAAAAACCTGTAGGGGTTAAGACAGCTAAGAGTGTTCCTCAGTCCCCCCACAAATTGTCCTTCTCTCTCTTGAGTCTTTCTCAGAAATCTTAAATGGTTCCAAGTTCAATGCTCCAAAAACCCACGCCCTCTTCTTCTTCCTCCACACATGCATCCTATGACCTTTCCTTTTCTATCCATTTTCTTCCCACAATTCACCAAACTACAATAACAAAAATAAAAAGCAAAAGCAAATTTACAAAAGATGAGAAATAAACACACTAACATGTAATTGTAAACCAACACCGCAAAAAACAGACACTTACCTAACTACTCATAAATCATATAACCTATCAATAAACCCTGATCCTTAATCAATATATGTATATGTTTTCATTTCCTCTACCTTGTGACTCGAACCATAGTTATAAAAAAAAATATGATAAAGTGAATGAACCATTCATGCTTCATAAGTTTTACCTCATAAGAAAGGAAAAGACAAATTTAGAAAAAGAGGGAAAGACATTTCTCTGATTTTAAATATAAGCATTAAAGTAGAATATGACAGCCTTTTTACTTATCCCTACTTTGACAGAGAATCAACATCGAACAGTAAAGAAGGAGAATCTCTGAATATCCACTTTAAACTACTGCCCTCTTGTCTTATTAACTCTCACAAAGACATTTAATTTCTTTCAGTTATTTTGACCCATACTTTTTTTGGACTCTTTCCCTTCTACTTAACTACTAGGCTATATATACATGCCTTCTTCCTTAAAACTTTAAACTCATATTCTACAACCAGAGCACTGCTACTACAACTACTAGTTCTATCATTTTTATCTGTAAATTTAATACGTTAATTGCTCAAAGATTACATACCTGCGAAGATGCTTAAACCCTTTTGGAGAAAAGGTGCAGGTATGGAGAGAAGTAAGGTCAATCCTACAAAGAGTGATGGCTTGACATGGTATAAAGATCTTGGTCATCACGCCTTTGGAGAGTTTTCGATGGCTATGATCCAAGCCAACAATGTGATGGAGGATCAGTGCCAGATCGAATCAGGGCCATTGACATTCAACAATCCCGCAGTTCAAGGAACGTTTGTTGGAGTGTACGATGGTCATGGAGGTCCAGAGGCTTCCAGATTCATTGCAGACAACATCTTCCCCAAACTAAAGAGTAAGACACCGCATTTATCAGTATTGATTTCCTCATTCTTGAATATGTCAGCCACACTAACCAACTCGTGTCTCACATGAACAGAGTTTGCCTCTGAGGATATGGAGATTTCAGAGCAGGTGATCAGGAAAGCATTTGCAGAGACAGACGAAGATTTTCTCCACGGAGTGAAGAAGCAATGGCGCTCTAACCCACAGATGGCATCAGTGGGGTCATGTTGCTTGGCAGGAGTGATATGCGACGGATTGGTGTATATTGCAAACGCGGGAGATTCCAGGGCCGTTTTGGGCAGATCCGAGAGAGGTGGAGTGAGAGCTGTTCAGTTGTCAGTAGAACACAATGCCAATGTAGAGTCTGCAAGGCAAGAGCTATGGTCAATGCATCCTAATGACCCCAACATTCTTGTGATGAAGCACCGGATGTGGCGTGTGAAAGGCGTCATCCAGGTAAACATTCATACATGATGATTACACTTCTAAAATCATCAATTGAAGTATAGCTTGCATCATGATGTTGACTAGCAGATGTGTTATGACCTTTAACCAGGTCACAAGATCCATAGGTGACGCATACCTCAAAAGAGCGGAGTTCAACAGAGAACCTTTGCTGCCCAAATTCAGACTACCAGAACATTTCACCACACCAATCCTTAGTGCAGATCCATCAGTCACGGTTACTCGGCTTAGTCCAGAAGACGAGTTTATGATTCTTGCTTCAGATGGGCTCTGGGAGAATGTTAGCAGCCAAGAAGCTGTCGATATTGTACATAATTCTCCTCGCCAAGTAAGTCCAACGCCTAAGCCATATCCAATTGGTTACGATGGTGCACAATTTTCAAACAAGAATTATTGTTAATACCTTCACATTCTCAGGGAATAGCAAGGAGACTACTCAAAGCTGCATTGAAGGAAGCAGCAAAGAAAAGAGAAATGAGATACTCAGACCTGAAAGAGATCCATCCTGGTGTTAGAAGGCATTTCCACGACGATATCACAGTTATTGTGGTCTATCTCAAACCCCAAATGGTCAAAACCAATGGTTGGGCTTCTCCACTGTCAATAAGAGGTGGCTACGCAACATCATGAACAGATCACACACTTCAACTTTTCCTGTTTAGTGCCTTGAGGCAAAAAAACAGGAGCAAGAACTACCAGTAGTATAGCTAGAACAATATTAAATTGTGAGATCTTATGATATGTTCTCTCTAAGATAACATGAATTCTCATGTACCCCTGTATGCAAATTATACACGAGGGTACTTGCATGCAAAATCATCAATTTCAGTATTGATAAAATTTTAAAGCATAATGGCGTTAAGGCACAAAAACGCAACATAGCCAACAGCTTTGAATTAGCACAACACACAGCAACCGAAAATAAGACGCAAAACTAAACATTACATTCCATTCATAAAAGTTTTCTGGCCCTCGATTCGAAAGTATCAACAGAGTTTATCTAAAATCTATTACAGAAACAAAGAGATTGTGTAGCATCAGAAAGCCAGCAAAGTCCGAGTCCCACGAACAAAGATACAGGATCTGAGGCTCTTTTTCCTTCAACTGCCATAGAGACCAGGGAGATGGAAACCAACAAGTACCTCTATAGTTCTAACGATGTCTTACATGACAAAGGAATTCTGAAGTAGTGGCTTGAGAGGTCATATCAATAAGAAAATCTAAACAACGACAAATGGTTATGGGTACCATTTTGCATGCAATATTCGAAATCAAGCACAGAACAGCAATAAACCAGCCTTCGTAATCAAAGATTAAGACGAAGAAACGCCAAGTTTGATAGATAAGCTAGCAAATTAGGCACAACTCAAAAGCAATCAACACTAATAATGTCTAACTAGCTTAGGGAAAACAATCTCCAAACAGCGAGAAAATGTCTCCTTCCTCTAATAATTGAAACTATTTGCTGCATGCAGTACAATTCTCTATTGATGCTGCCTGTGCTTGATACGAACACGCAATACTAAAAGGACCATCCACATTCCCAAATAGTTTAATAAAATAATGGTATTACTCAAGCTATACTTACCACTTAGATCACCTGCAACATGGAAAACATCAATACCAGCCACTTCAGAATCCCTAGGTCCTAACACATTGAAAGTTGTTTTTTTTTAAGACAATCAGAACTATAGGTTACTTATTGATTTCCCAAAATCTCATCTGGTGACAGTTTAGCTTCTGTCCATCTGAGAGATCATTGCAAACCCTTGCTCCACGACCAAACTTCGACCTTAATAAAGCTACGACACACTGGGACTTCTAATTCAGAAATAAAGAGAGAATGAAGCAGCCAGAGAGGGAATCAGAAGACGCTAGCACACTACCTGCAAAAATCAAAGATTGTGGAGTCAGATACGAGAAAGAAACTAGGCACCACTAAGTTTAGCAATGTGATCAGAAACGTTAACTCACCTAACTACAAAGATAGACGGAACTTTATTCAGGAACCTTAGGCAGCGCCTCCTGATACAGCTGCCTCCTGATGAAAAAGAAAAAATGAAACAAAGAGTTGAACAATACTGTTAATTTTCTCATTCTAACAGATAAGAGAAAACCTGAAACATAGAGTTGAACAAAACTGTTAAAGGCCTTTACCTTGCCAATATTTTGCTTCACAGGTAAATCTGAAGATGAGTCTGAAGCAGGTTTTGAAAACCTAATGATGGGTAATTCACAAACCACAAAATCAGTTAATTGAAAAAACATCTCACACTACTTCAGTCCTCAGGACTAACAGAGCTTGGGTTGCATGAAAAGATACCTTAATGCCCTAGCTTTGCGTTTATCTTCTTCAGCCGAATCAACTTTCGTATCAACTTTAGCATCAGCTTTAGTATCCTTCCCAAAACGAGCCAGCCTAGCTTTCTTCTTCACCTCTTCCTCAGTTTTATCAGTGGTAGGGGCTGATGCAGGAACCCCAAACCTGCGTGAAATAAAAAGAGAGTAAGAAACTCCTTTTCTTGGAAACCAAACATGCAAGCAATAAACTAATATAACACAAAGAAAGTAAGATGAAAAACCTATCAGCTCTAGCCTTTCGCTTCAATTCCTCAGCTTTCTTCGTTCCATCTGAGCCATTCACCACTGCAGCTACAGTACCAAACCTGCATCGATAGTGAAATACGTTTCAAACTCGCCAACATAGATTCGACAACAATGTGAACATAACAAATAACAACAATCCGGTGCGTACTTATGGTTAAGTAAGAACAATAACATTCTCAAATCGCTTCGTAAGAACACAGAAACCCTAATTTTGCAAATCCCTAAATACAACAGAAATCAAAGAATAAGGAAATCAAAGGAACAAGTTCTCTTACCTCTCAGCACGAGAATTACGCTTCTCTTCTTCGGTTAACTTCACAGAAAGCCCAAACCTCTCCGCACGTCGAATCTTCTTCTGGACATCATCGACCGGAGATACATCACCAGAATCAGCTGCCGATCCAGTAATAGCCTTAGATTCGCCTTCTTCCTTGTTCTCACCAGTAGATTCCGAAAATCCCTTGACTTCTTCTCCGTCGAGAATGTCGTCATCAATACGATCTGGTTCCGCAGTGTTGAGGTCTACGATTTTCTTAGGGTTTTCAACAGTTGAAAGCCCCGAGCCATTCTCCACCTTATCTCCTTTGCTCGCCATTGAAATCGAAGGTCCGTTCACAAAATACGAGTCCGTGAGAGATATTCTTCTTTCGCGATTTAGCCAGAGAGTAGTAGTAGGGTTGCAGTCGAATAGTCCGGTCTCAGGGATTTTAAAGCCCTCAAAACCAAGGGCAATATCGTCAGCTAAAAAATAGTCCGATTCATTGATGAGGGGCAATATCGTCTACTTAAAAATTGGTTCTTATGGGCCGGGTCGGATTTAAATAGCTCGATCCATTAAACGTCGGCAGATTTAATAGTCCGCGAGTCACCCAACCCGAAGGGGTAATATCGTCTTAATAATCATGACTAATAAACCTAAACGACGACGTGTTTATTGGTATCCTCTATATATTAACAGAGGAGACACTAAGTGAAAATTCTAGGTGTCATCCAAAGAAGATTTTAAGAAATTTTTAATGAAAGCTATTAAGACTTCTTAATGACATTATTGTGTAAATAATTAGACTAAATTTATATGGAGAAATTGCAAAAATCCCACTTTTTATGTACACTTTTGCTAAAATGCCACTTAGGAGTGTTCATTTGCAAAAATACCACTAATTATAGTTTTTTAAACCCTATATCTTAAAATTCTAAACACTAAAAAATGTTTTGACCCTAAACTCCCCTAAACCCTCATAACTAAACCCTAATAGAAGATAATTAACTCAATCACAAATAATATAAAGAAAATATAATTTTGAAAAAGTGGCATTTTTGTAAAGATTTCAAAAGTGTGACATTTTTGTAAAGAGTTCAAAAGTGTGGCATTTTTGTAAAGTGGCATTTGAAAAGTGGCATTTTTTAAAATTTCTCAATTTATATCATATATACAATATATAACTATTAAACAAATATGAAAGCAAAGAATAAGAGAAATTTCAAAAAATGCCACTTTTCAAGTGCCACTTTACAAAAATGTCACACTTTTGAAATCTTTACAAAAATGCCACTTTTTCAAAAAATAATTTTCTTTATATTATTTATGTTGGGGTTAATTATNNTCTATTANGGTTTAGTTTTGAGTGTTTAGGGGGTTTAGGTGTCAAAACATTT